AATTATTCTAGAGGTTGCATTTATATCTTTCCAATTCACAATAAATCCAGTATCCAAAAATAGAACTGACATTGCACAGCAACACTCGCAAGAGACGTGAGACACATTACAGCTGCGTAAGGAATCGTTTTTTCCGATGCATTCCTCAAGCTTCACTCGCAACCATTTCCGCTCCGCTTCACGTCATTTCCTCGCTAACTCCTCATTTGTTATGCGCTGAGTTCGGAAATCTTCGTGGGCAACCACCACAGATCTCATTCAGCCCGTCACGGAGTGCAAAGTGCACGCTCGAATCATCCCGACTTGTGGTGAGGGAGTTGACTTGGTACTGTTTCATCACATCACTGAGCCGTTCCCACAAACACTTCCATTATTCATAAGGAGAGGCTGCGTTACCGCAGCTTCTCAAAACAGAAACAGCTGTGGAAAAACTTTGACATCCCAAAATAATGATGTCTAGTCCAGACCACTTCACAAATAGCTGCAAGCAAAGTTTCCAGGTTGAATGGGATTCCCCAAGAAAATAGTTGAGTTCTTCGGCAGACTGTGAGAATGAGAAAAATGAAATAAGGTCAAAAACATTAGTGGAGGAGAAAACTAGTAGCGTGTACATTCTGAGGTAAGATTGCAGGCGCTCTTTCGGTATGAAGCGATAACACGACTGAGTATCCTAGCCCTTATTGCATAGCGGTGGTCAATTTGTAGAGTTAGCGAGTACTCTCGAGAGCATATAATCGGAAAACGACGAAGGCTCAGGATCATTCGAATGCAATGTCAGGGGTACATAAAAAGCCAATAGTTAGCAGAAACATACTAACCTAACCCATGAATGTAATCAACGGCACCTCACTAACCCTAGAAGAAGGTTATCACAAGATTGCTGACTTATGGGCAAAATTTTCACCTGTGGAAACCATACCGACACCTCTCGTTTAGCGGACAATTGTACTACCTGTTACATTACGGGGCACCATTTCACCCAAACTCAGCTCTTTATGGCATACATATTTGCAGTTAGGCTTATCAACACCAACACTTATAGCGTGATAAGATGTAGCCGACATCGGGAAGTGAACTGCAAGTCTAACTAAGAGCTCTACTACCATTGATTTGTTTTACTATCAGATGCGGTTTTGGTTGCAGTTCGCCATGCGAAACTTATCAGAGCAATTCGCAAATTTTATAAGAATCGAAAGATATTCGAAGGGGGGGTCGAATTCCGCCTGGAGCGAACTGTTCAGCCTATGACTCATCCTTCTTCGTACCAAGCTTATGGATTGCATGTACATAGTTATGATGGGCTGGAGTAGCAAAGAAAAGCATGGAAAACACTACTTGCAACTGAAAAAAAAATCCAGCGGTTGTGAAAGATACAGATTTTGTTGACTTTGGGCAAGAACAAGGATCAACAGCCTATGAGCACTCGAAGTACTGCTAATAACATGGTCATGGTTGATACAAGCCTTCTTGAAACGTGGCTGGTCAACAACTTTTGACTCCGTGTAGCTGCCAAATGATCTTTGGGGGTGTTAGCACCATTTTGCAGAACTCTTTAGGGTTCCTTTAAAAGAATGGGAGGCGTTCTTGACGGGAGAAGTAGACCGATCGCTCGACACTCTACACATCTACCAGAACGAAAAGTCACTTGCGAGTGAAAAACCAGATAGGGAGAGGGGAGCATTCTTTGCTGTCTTATCCTTAGTCCTAGAGAGCACGTTTTTGGGACACTAAGGATAAGGATAAGTACGTGAGCGACTTATTTGGAGTGCACATTTTAAGAACCGGTGAATCTCCCACTCCCCACTTCCTGCCCACATCGTTCAATTTTCTGTAGCAGGTCGTCCACCTTGAAGCTCCTTCCTCTACAACGGGGCGAGGACCTCTATCCTTCTGGTTTGGGACCGTTTCCCTGGCCCATAGCAATCGGAAGTGTGGAAGCTTTTCAGATTTCTTTCCCACTCTACTTCACCGGTATTTATCAGCCTACACCTTAAATGAGTCTATAACGTGTCATGAGTGCTCTCATTCTTATCCTAGGTACTGGGGAACCTCCCGAATGCATATCTCTGTCTTAGAATATTCTAAAGGATACCTCGGCGCGCTTGCGTCCTCATTCGTGGGCATCATTATGCAGTTGAACGAGTTATGCTCGATAATCGTGAGAAAGTCACCGAGAACGCACGTCGTACAATTGGCGCTCTATAATATGTGGAATGCTGCATCGTTGATGTCCCTCGTGGGCTGAAAATCGGAGATCTCATGAAATCATGAGCGCAAACCGATCTGCACGTCACGTATGGACCCTTCAGCGTTTTCGACTACTCTCCAGCGACTTCATGAGATACCAACACGAACGAATTGGAATTCGTCATCGTTCGGCGTTGATTCGACTTCTTGCACAACGACAACACACATGGAGCGATTCGATTAGGGCAAGCATCGTATGATATTCGCTCCGTTTGGCTTGCCGTGCACGTTCGCAGAGGAAGGACGAAGGAGGAGGAGGGCGGAGGAGATATCATGGTTAGACTCTGGTCCATGTTGGAATATTTGAAGAAAGAAGGTCTAATCTAACACGCCCACGGCAGCGAGGATTTGGGACTTTTCGCTGCGTGGAACTGATGCGATTTGCAAGCGCCATCGGCACGTCGATTTCGAACTGCAATACAACGCAGCTCAAACAAAATGTTCTCAATGATATTCGATGAGTTAAACTCATCGGAAGGTAAAATTGTAAAAGTTCGATCGAAATGGTGTGCAATGGCATTGAGAAGGCAAGTTTTAGAGTTGCTTTCGCTGTATGGGGCATGGTATGGTGGGTATGGCCATGGTACATGGGAGGTATGGACCGAACTTAAAGGCATGCCCCAGGATCACATTGGTGTGGCTCTTGCACACGAATGCGAATGTATTGGTGCAAGTGGGCCGGCAGTAAAGAAAAAAGGAAAAGAATCCGTCGAAAACGCTTACGTTAGGTTAAGCGGAGAGGAGAGTATGAGGCGAGTTGGTCACGATGGTCACGTTACAATGTGACCTATAGAACAAACAAAGTTAGAAAAGAAGTAGCGCGAAAAAATAAAGTAGTTGGGTGCGAAGCGCATGCGCTGCACGCTGTCCCACGCGGTGACAAAGTGCGAGGCGCATGCGTTTCACGCTGCCGTCAGTGTGTCAACGAACATGTAACAAGTAAGTAGTCCCTCAGGCACTTATCTTAGAACCAAGATAAGGCTGGCAGTACCACAAACATCTTATGTTTATGAGTTTCTGGAGAGTTCTTTTGAATCATGTATCTCTGCTTCAACTCCTACCACTTACGTAGCCTGTATTCAAGTTACGGTAATGGTAGTCAGGGTGATTATTCTCAGTAGTCATTACATATCTTCGCAATTTCGATGTGGTTGCCTGTAACGCGATTCCGCCGTTAAAGCTGCTCAACCGTCTTTTGTTGTTCAGCTTTTCATAGCGATAACAGGGGGGGGGGGGAGTAGCGATTTCCATAGCATTAAAGGAAGCGATTACGATAAGGAATTTTCGCATCGGGGGAGAACCTGCGCCACACGGAGCAATTACTTGGCTGCCAAGGAAGCGATGTGTGGTCCTCCCACGGCGAAAGGTGCTGTGGTTGCTGAGCAGGACCCGCGTGACGCCCCGCCCCCAGTGACGTGACGCCCACTAGTTTTGTTGATGATCTGGATGGACTGTTTGCTGTTGGCTTTTCATTTTGGATGATCATTTCCCTTCTAGCGGCTGTATCTTCCAACTTGCCCACGTATTGCCTTATCAATCAAAACACTATGCTTGTTGGCATGATGGCGGCTATCGGGGTTAACACGTCCGAACAACGTCGTTCTTTACCGTCGCTCATCCATGGTCGAAAATGAAAGGGCAATCAAAGGGGTACTATTTTGCTTATTTTTGACGGATTTCTTTGCTTTTTTCGCCATTGGCGTACTATTGAGACCCCCACGTCCCCTCTAAACCCCTGTGAGATCTATCGTAATCGCTTCCTTTAAACATAAATCTTATAGCTGAATAATAATTTGAACAAATAGGCAGTTAAGCGTCAGAAAAAAAAAACACAGCAATAGAGGGTTCTTTTCAGGTGAGACACCGAAATTGCGCCAACATTGTGCTTCAGCGAGTGAAATACCGTATTTAACTGGTGGTCATGCGCGTTGTGAGGAACGAATCGACAACTGGCAAGAGGTGAGAACTATCATCTGACTCTTGGTATATATCATATAACATACATTATACCTAAGTGCTTTGTTTTACAAGCCACCATTAAAGGGCAAAAGTAACTTACAATGGCACTTGGTCTAGGTTCCTCTACCATGCTCTACCTGCGCTCATCTCATACAGCTTAAATAAATCCGCTGGAATCCTAGGAATATCATGCCCTCACACCCCAATTTTGCCACCGTGACGGCTGAAAATCTTATCCACAGCCCAAGTGTCCTCCTTTCTCTTACAAAACTCTGCTAGACCAGGGCTTACTCTTATCCAACCGAAAGAGACTGTCAGATTCGCGGACACCGCCTATAGATTCCGACTAAGCTTCAGAGAAAATGGCCCTCTTACAGACTGCAATTCCCAATGGCCGTCTCACAGACTGCCCCCCCTCCCCTCCGGAAGGAAATCGCGCCTAAACAGCATTCTGACACTTCTAATGTGGTAATTACAATGTTTAGGTGTGCAAATGTGAAGAAGACTTTTGCAATACCTTTGCCTATTTACGGTCATCAATTGATTCGCGACAGGACCGAGGTGATGTCGTGCAGTTTACGAAGCAAGATGCACCGTATAATCCGGCTCATACCAGACCGGTAAGCCTTCTATCCATTTGCTTTTATCACGTACGAATTCGATCAAAGGATGTGAAATGGAATTTATTGATGGAAATCGCTTTTTTCTGGCCTCCTCTTAGCTGCATTCCGCCCTCGTTCTTTTTCATTATTAATTTATTGATAATTCCATTTAATTTCTTCAACTCCTTGGTCTAGATCATAGCACATTATACTAGCTAGTTCTCTCATTCCGCTGCTGAAAGGAAATGGAGAGTAAAAGTCAGTGGGAATATGGGTGACTCATCATTCACTTTTTGAATTCCATCCTGCCAAAATCTCTAGGCCATCTACCTCCAAAATTGGGAAGCTTAAATCCTGCGTAAACATCTCATAATTAATAACGGGAGTGAAATCCGAGGTTGAGGAAAGTAGGGCGGTGTGCACGTGTAAAGGATATACCGACTTACCATTAGTCGCATGAAACTACCAGGCCGTAGGGATAAGGCCTGAAGATACAAGAGCTTAACCGAGCAGGTCCTGCGCAGGAGACGATGTCATGGGCAGCTCTCGTTAGTATACGTGCTCGGTTGCCTATAGTTCGAGAAAACCTGGTCCTAAAAAGGGAATGGGCTTCCTTGCCTAGTTCCAAGGGAGGAGGAGCTTTAGGGTGGATGACCCCGAGCAAATAATGGATAGGATGACGGCAGGGCAACAATGTATGAGGAACAGGATACTCACCTACGATACGATTCCAATCAAAAGTACACTTCAAATAAGTCACTTACATACTGCCCCCTTTAGTGCGAGAGCCCAACGAAGAGCTCTCTACCATTCATTTTCGCCTAGAGTTTGGCTCTGTAAAGAACTCATGTGAATATTGTCAATTTCATCACATTCAAGGAAGAACTCATTGAAAAGGCTGGATGCAACAACTCCAGATGACGCCGTGTCGATAAATCTGTTCTACGGGTGGGAGTAGTCAAAGGCTATCTAGGTATGCCGCTGTCGCGGATCGAAAGGGTGCAACAGTGGCGCTAGGGCCCTACATAGTGACATAATAGCGAATAATGTAAACTTATGGACGAGATACCTCGCGCTCGCCCTCACGCAACGTGGATTACGACGTAGCGGATAAGATAGCCGATAGGTAGATAGATATGGTAGCTTCATTGCATTGATGCGGTTGCCTTCGAAAAACTCGTCCAGGCACGTCCTTTCCACACGGTCATTATCAATCGCTGTCACCCCACCAATTTGACTAGAGGTTGGCTTTAAGAGTGTGACCGCTGGAGACTGTTTCAAAACTTGCTTCGCATAGACTTCACACCGCCACGAAAAACAAAGCAATTTATCTCAGCAGCGAAGCGAGAAGGCAACAATCCTTTTTGCCTTAGGCTAGCGACGCTTCCAGCGGGAGCAATTTGTAGGTAGCTGGTAGTTTAAAGGAATCTTCCACGGAAAAAGCTCCGCCCTCATTACCACAGAAAACGATACCTTAAAGGAATCTTCCACGGAAAGAGTGATCATTTTGTCTTGTGTGTAGGATTAGTATTATCGAAACTAACGCTTATGTTCCGTTCTTTTTGCTATGCTCATGAGGCTAGGGGCCTAAGGGGTATCGTTTTTCTGTGGTAATGGAGGCGGAGCTTTTTCCGCGGAAGATTCCTTTAAACCCGGCAATAGTACCCTAAATGGAAGTTTTGGTGTACGGCAAAATTTATGGAAATATGCTGTTTTCGAAGTTTTGGTGGTCATTTTTGATGATTCTACAGCCGCAGTGACCTCAACTTGAACTTTGAGGATTCCTACCGGATGAATCGAAAACAAGACCCGCTGCTCCCATAATTGGTCAAGATCACAAGTTCGCTGCGCGGCTGTTTGTCACTCGCGTCGGCTATTTCAGTATTTTTGCTATGCTAAATGTTTCCCAAGTTATTTCTCACTATTGATGTCCCACATGAATTTATTAGTTGTACATACGTGTGGGACATCAATAAGTGAAGGTTTAACACGTTGGCGACAATGCCATTTTTCGCGTGTCTGCCATGTGGGACCGCGCGCATTTTTCTTTGCGGGTCGACGTTGGGACGCATTGTCCAAGATGACAGTCTTTTTGACTAACATAACCTCAGTGGTCGTGAAAATTCATCAGAGACGAAACTTCACTAAGAGGGGTATTCAAGGGTGCTGAACATGAATATAGCAGTAGTTTTGGCGCCAAAACCTGTTTTACCTCCAATTTCGCTGTAAACTCGGAACAGGGGTAATCGGTGGTCCTAAGCATGAAAATGGCATCTTTTTTTTGGCGCCGCGCCATTTGGCGCCAAGTTGGCGCCACTGACGCCAGCGCTGAAAACTACTGCTATATTCATGTTCAGCACCCTTGAATACCCCTCTTAGTGAAGTTTCGTCTCTGATGAATTTTCACGACCACTGAGGTTATGTTAGTCAAAAAGACTGTCATCTTGGACAATGCGTCCCAACGTCGACCCGCAAAGAAAAATGCGCGCGGTCCCACATGGCAGACACGCGAAAAATGGCATTGTCGCCAACGTGTTAAGAAAACCTATTCGTCTCCACGACGGATGTTCCTGAATTTCCGATGTCCAAGTCCCATTCT